GCAAGTTAAGTGACTTTCATTACAAGCATTTAGCTTTCCGAAGTCTATGAGAACAATTATTTGGCATTGACAGCCGTGAATTTCGCCCCAATAAGCTGCCTCGACTTGTTCGATTATGTTATCAACTCAATTTCATATTTATTTTCACATTTTCACTTTGCAGTCCTTCTCTGTTCTTTTTCCATTATTTATACATGTAGATCATTTCATTGTTATCCACATTTGATATCATCACTTATCACATACTGCCATGACGCTCATGTCTGTCAGCTACAACTGTCAAGAATTAACACGATTGGCGAAGTGTAGTGACAGTGGACCAATAGAGAGCAGGGTGTGCGATCCTTGCCATAATGCAGTTTGCGCGCCAATTTTCATACGTGCATTAATCAAGCCGAATAGTTTGGCCGAATATTTGGCTATTCAGCCATGCTCCTGGCCGAATATACTATACATTGCATCACTAGTTCTTAAATGTATAAAATATTTTATTATTTATTTCTTCTGTCCAAATACTTTTGTGACATGCCACAGTTTCAAATAAAAGTATATTTCTCTTTTTGATGAATGTTTTTGTACAGTACATGTAAATGCTTTTTCTTCTAGTGTAAAAAGTCTGAAGATTTTACATGTCATTATTTTTTTTCCTATTTCAAGTAGAAATGAGTAATAACTAAAAACACTCTTGCATTTTATAGGTGTCAGGATACTTTTGTGAACCTAGTGTATTTAGCTGAACCTGAGCAGTAGTATTTTCTATAATCAGATTTTATTTATTGTATAAGCAGAAACAAATAAGATTTAAAAACATATTTAATACAATTCTGTAACACGCTTATCTGAAGAGTGTAGAAGTCAGTATGTACAGTAATTTTTCTGATTTATTATATTTATTTATTTTCTGTAGATTGTGCTATTTAATATCAACTATTAATTATCAATATTGATATGTCATTATCTAACTTTAAACATTATATGGTATATTAAATTTGTTAAAATAATATCTTACGCATATTTATTTGAAATAGATGAAAAAAACTAGATGAATTGAATATATTATAATAAACTTTGAATGGCTGGAATAAATAAAAGATTTTTATTAATTAAGACCAATAACATGGCTATTATTTAATATTTAAATACTAAATTTTGCTTAGAGGCATCATTTCTTAATATTACAGCCTGATATAATCCAGTAGATCATTTAACCTTAATCAAAAATAGGATTAATGGATGTATATTTGATTTTATTACTTTATTTAAAGTTTGTACTTTTTAAACATTTACACAGTGTTTAAAAATTATATGAACAATAAATTTGACTTCTTTCTTTTTCTTGGGTTTATCTGGAGATGTCAGCCACTTGGCTATATTAATCCAATGGGCTGCTGGGCTGTGGTTAGTTGAAGCAACCTGTTTGGCAAATAAACAATTCCAAGGCTGCCAAGTGCTGGCTTGGCAGTACATCGGTGGATGGCCAGTAAATCGGAATTAATGAATGGGTCAGGATGAGGTTGAGGGACAGATTTGTACTGAGGTACGTTGGGACGAGGCATATTGATAAGGTCACTTGGCAAAGGGGCGATGGTGGTTGCGCCCCTTCCAGCAAAGGCTTGGCGTCCATGCATCAATGAGGTTTTGGATGGTTAATCTTCTGATGCTCTGAGAAAGATCATTCGGCTGTAGTGGGCACATCATATTGTGCCGGTAGGTGTGCCAGTTCATGTGGCCTTGTCGGCTGCTTTGTTGACTGAGATGCCCACATGACCGAAGGTCCACCCAATGGAGAGGGGTGTTGAAAATGATGTGATAGTTGCCACCAGGTCTGTGATGAGTGAAGGTGACGAATGGGTGATTGTTGCCACTGCTTGAAGAACTGACTGGCTGTCAGAAGTGATGACCGTTGGGCGGCAGAGTCTCCTCTGCCGCCCAACGGTCGGCAGAGGACTAAAGTGTAGTGCCTACTGGATGGCAAGGGCCTCCACTCCAAAGAAGCTGCAACCTTCATCTATTTGCCATGTTTCAGTGATTTGATGAGAAGGGATGACCACCCCGGCGGTCGTCCTGAGTGGGGTTTTAGAAGCATCCACTCCAATAAACACCCAGTCTTCTCACCAGTTAGAGATCTCCTCTTGAAAGCAGGCACAAGTGATTGTGGATGGACTGGGTTCTGCTGTCGAGAAGATGTTTAGGTGTAAAAACAGTTACAGATGCGTGGCGTCTGGTGGAGTGTTCTTTTGGTGGTATACTTTTGACAGAGTAGGTCAGTCTTACTAGGAGACCTACATCACAAGGGTCTTTTCCATCATATGAAAAGACCCTTGTGATGTAGGTCTCCTAGTAAGGACGCAACAATAGTACGCCAAGCTGGGCACTGTCTTATAAAGCTTGTGGAGTGGGCTGAAGGGACCACATGCCAGTTGTATAATGGCATATGTCATGGCCCGCATGCAGAGCCTTGTTTTATAGGGAATGTACCGCATCTCCATATAGAGTGACAGAATGGGAGTTGTTAATGATACCCCCAAGGCCGTGCAGAGAGCAATATGTAGTGTCTTTTCAATGCAGCTGAATGTGCTGGGAGGTGCACCTTCCAAGAGTGGCACACCAAATTTGGCCATCGGGCTGAGGACCATATAGAATAGATGAAGAAGGTCATATGTCCAGGCCCGTTCCTATGTGATGCGAAGTATTTTAGGTATGTGCCTGCCCACGCTAATTTTATCTTGAGGAAAGTCTCGTGGGCCGTCCAAGTTAGAGAATGTGAGAATTGTACTCCTAAGATACATAAGGAAGTATGTTGTGAGATTTGCCCCAAATGAAGAAAGAAAGAGATTGGTGGATGGTGGTGTTTCAGTAAGAAGTCCAATAAATTTGCCTCATTATATAAAATTCCAACAATAGTTTTGTCACAAAACAGTTAAAATGAGTAATTTTAATTATCTTTAGTTTTTTCAAAGAAAAGAAAATTTGATATTATGATGTTTGTAAAAAAGTGAATCATATGAACTACATTGAATAACTGATATATATTCTACACATAATCTAAAACTACTGTATATCAGTGCAGATAAGACAACCTTCAGATAAGATGCGGTATAAATTTTTGTCAAAGTGTTTTATAGTTTTAGCATATATCTGTCCTATAAGACGACCCCGAACTATCAACAGCCCAAGAATTTAGTTTAGATCAGCGATCGTCATCTGGATAATAATACTGTATAGTGTATACGGAATTATGTCCAATTCGTAATTTTTTGAATGAACAAATTTTATTTTTGTAATCTGACAGCACTGCCTTGCTATTGTTGCAAACATTCGCATGGGCATTTGGTGACCTTGACTATTCACAAAAACATCATATGGAATATTCTATTTTGTGAACATACCCTACTCTCTACTAGTAAATAATTACAGTTTGTCTGCTTTTTATAATGGTTTTAATTTATATAAATTTCATCTGATTTTTTTCATATCTGTCCTATAAGACAACCCCAGATTTTGGAAGCCTTATTTTTATGATTCAACTATCGTCTTATCTATGCAGATATATGGTAATTCAAATTACAAAAGTGTTAAAATATAAATAATTATAAAAACTTGTATTTTTATTAGTTTATTGTCTTTGATTTAAAAAAAAAAGACAAATTTAAAAAATAAATATACATTTTACATTATTTCCTTCATTTTCATAAATATTTTTGTTCATTATTATAAATATATTCTCTGATTTTGAACTTTTAAAATGAATGAATAATAAAAATCTTAATACAACTGAACCTGTATCTCAAATCTCACAGAAACAAGAAGAAAATTTGAGATATCTCTGGTCACAATGTGCTGACCTTGACCGGTTGACCTGAGATATCTCGTTTCAGCATTGGAACATTTTTGAAAGTAGATGGTGCTAGTTGTTATAATTTTATATTAAAACTAACTTCCAAAATATAATTTCTTTTCTTTTTACATTTATTAATATATATATATTGTTTGTGTTTGTGCAAAATAAAAAATAAATTCGAATGATATAATAGCCAGGATTATTTTTTCAAAAGCGGGAAATTTTTGTTCGACATTGACAAAAATTCAACCCGAGGCGACACACAATGGAGAGAAATTTTGAAATTGAATAGGTTAATTTCACCAAAAATTCATCGTGGACGACCTCCTGAACCCTATAGATATAGAGGTTCCTATACAGTAAACAGTAATGGGTTTGATTGGATATATTGTATTATATTAAAACAAAGGCAAGTACAGTACATACCTATATTAGGTATAAATAAAACATTTTTGACATACATTGACAGAAATAGTTTGTTAATAGTTTCTGATGTTTGATTTTCTTCAACTAATAAGATGCAAGCCAAACTCATAACCTCAGCCCACTAGTGACTGAATGGATAAAACCACTGAACACTAGTAGTTGGCTGTGGGTTCACACCTCATCAACAAGCTGGCCATGTGTTTTTTCCAAGTTTTCTTCATGTAAAAACATGAACACCTAAATAGGAACAAGTTTCCCATACAAACTCTTCCCAGAAATCATCACCCAGCAGATCACCCGTGTGTTGAATCATCATAAACAATCCAAACACATAACAAATCAGAAAAAAAGCCACATTAATTGAAACTATGTATTGTACTGCAAGAGACATTTCTCAACTACAGTTTATGCTATCAAAATGTAATTGCTGGGCTTTGAAATTGTAACCGACACTTCATTCCATAATTTGAGATATAAAGGTTTTGGGAGAAAATTATTTGAAATAAACATGAAAAATATATTGAATTTAGGCTGAAAATGCAAGGAAAAAATAAATTTTGAGATAGAGGTTTCCAAGATAAACATGTTTGAGATATACAGGTTCAACTGTATATTAATGAAAATAAATTACTTTTAAGAATCAAAAATAGCAATCTGAATGTATTTATAGATATTTCTTACTTTCAAATATTTTCATAAATTGTTAACAAAGATAAAATTATTAGCATCATACCCTTCGTTAGTTTGAATAATATTGATCATTTCATTGGCAGTATGCATTGCATCATATCCACGAGGATTATCTGATGAAAGATTTTTCACCATGTCCAGCATGACTTCTAAATCAATAATGAGATTATATACCTAAAAACAAGAGACATAACATGTATGAATGTTGTTATAAATATAATGTTGTTAAAAATATGAACCTATTTTGCAGGCTATCTTCAAGTATGGAAAACAGAATATTGACTGTTAGAAAATGAAATAGTTGAAAAATGGAATTTTCAAACATGAATCATAATATGATTTTCTAATTGGATAAGCTTAACAAAACAACAAATAAATAAATAAGATACAAAAATAAGATTATGTTCTTTATTTATTTTAAGTTTGTAAGATTGTATCTTTATTTTATTAAGTTTTTAAAAGTAGATTGTGAGGATGTAAGAGAATTAGGAGTTTTCATATACAGTGGGTGATCAGCTAACGAACAGATCGGATAATGAACAAATCGGATAATGAACACTTTCCCGAAAGATTTTTATGTTCGGACAACGAACACATGATCGGATAACGAACACCTCACAGAACAAACACAAGAAAAAGCGATGTAAAATAATGAATACCAATTGGTCTTCCCATGTCTTCAGGAAACAATTCAAAACTTTTCGGAGTGTGGAAAACGTCGACATCGACACTGAAGCCGGTATATACCGATCGGATAGTATTCCTCCGAACTTTGAAACTCTCCCTTGTAATTCCAGCCTTTTATTTTTCTGACAAAATGATTCTTTTATGTATTCGCGAGACTGTCGGGTAGGCACTTGTTAAGTTTTGCATCTGTTTTTCTTTACGAAAGGTGAGAGTATAATAGCAAAGGTAGAGAGTGGGCAGAAGATACCTAATGTTGCTGGGCAGTATGGCATGAACAGGTCTAAAGTAGGCCGCAGTTCAATCTTATTTAAGAAAAATACTGTATAATCCAGAAGACTCAAGCAGCTAAAGGAGTAACAAAAATCACATCTGAGAAATAAAGAACATCGAAGAGTTCATAATGGAACCTGAAACGGATCTGACGACAGAAGAACGCCAAGAACTCTTGAATGAAGAACACCAAGAAACTCGGCGAGATATGTTTTCTTCTGAAAAAGAGGATTAATGCCGATATCTGTTATTAAAGATCCTTTGAAGAAGTGGGAGAATGTCAGAACAACGGTCTTAGAATGGCATCTAAACCAGGTTGAGGCTTGGGGATTTCTACAATTGCAATGCTATTAATTACTTACGAAAAATCCTTAAGAAGAGAGGAAAGCAATCGACATTAGACAGGTTCTTTAACCATTTCAAACGGAAAAAAAATATGACTAATAAAAATGCAAGACTGTGTGTGTACGTATTTTTATTATTACATATAAATAAACGTAGTAAGAAAGTATATATTTTTTTATTTTTGAGGGTCTTCAGAACAAATTAATTAAATTCCCATAGAAACCTATGGTAAATCGATAATCGGTTAACAAACAATTCGGATAGCAAACAAAACCTTGGAATGGATTATGTTCGTTAACCGATCACCCACTGTATTAATTTCTTTTTTATGATGTATTTCCAGGTTGAAGGTAACCCTCCTGTACTGTATCTGTCGTCTTTAAGGCATCTGTCCATTACACACACAAGGGTTATCTTCAGCCTGGAAATACATCATAAAAAGGAAATAGAAATTCAGATATAAAAATCTCTAATTCTCTTACATTCTAACAATCTACTTTGTATTCTTTATTTAAGTTTTTTCATCTTATTTTTGTTTCTTATTGACAAGACTATATCTTGTTTATAAAATCATACTGCCAGTTGGCTTATCAGCTTAGAGATATGAAGTAGTACTGTACATGTCAAAAGTTGCAATTTGGCACAGAGTATTAAACACCGAAATCATGTGCGCATAAAAAAAAACACCAGACTTGTAGCTACTCAGGGAACTGAGAATAGAGTCAAAATAAAATACAAAATGGCAACACTCTCTACAAACAGGCAGTAGTGTGAGATTTGCACAAACATTGCTCATTGGAAAGTTAGAAGTGTGAATGTTGTAAAATTGAATTTTGACAAACACGTGCGTTGGGAAGTTCAAAAAGTGAATGTTGCTAAATCGAATTTTGACAAATGAATCTTTGAAAAAACCTATTTACCTGTCATGTGTTATTTCCAACATATCTCTGGTCACAATGTGCTGACCTTGACCGATTGACCTGAGATATCTCATTTCAGCATTGGAACATTTTTGAAAGTAGATGGTGCTAGTTGTTATAATTTTATGTTAAAACTAACTTCCAAAATATAATTTATTTTCTTTTTACATTTATTAATATATATATATTGTTTGTGTTTGTGCAAAATAAAAAATAAATTCGAATGATATAATAGCCAGGATTATTTTTTCAGAAACGGGAAATTTTTGTTCGGCATTGACAAAAATTCAACCCAAGGCGACACACAATGGAGAGAAATTTCGAAATTTAATAGGTTAATTTCACCAAAAATTCATTGTGGACGACCTCCTGGTCATGGCTAGCAAAGTTTAAACAATCACACTCTAAACCAGCAATACCAAAGAAGATTGGAGAACGAGACCTGCCTTGAGCGTCAAAGTAATCCTGCTTAGTAGTGAGGCTCTGAGGCAGTCTTGTCCCAAATATGGCTTTGCCACTTTACTTGTTTATTTATTTGTTATTCTGTTAAATTTATTCAATTAGAAAATTATATTATGATTCATATTTGTATTTTAAATATATGTTTAAATGAAAATGTTTGAAATCCTTTGAATGTTCCATTTTGTAATGGTCAATATTCTGTTTTCAACACCTGAAGATGGCCTATAAAATAGGTTGAAAATGCTCACACAGTGGTGATATTCAGCGGGTTCGCACAGGTTCAGCCGAACCCGTTGTTAACATTTTCAAAGTTTTCCGAACCTTGTTAAACACACATAACATTTCTCAGTGGTTTTGTTTCTTTTAAAAAATATATTAAAATATATGTATTATACTCTGTAACACTACTGAACTAGAGCCTTATACCTCGTTCGCCTTGGTGTGACCTCCCTCGACCATTTCAATCTCAACTGAAACGAGGTTCACTCGCGATCGACTGGAGAGAGTTCTTGAAACTAGATCCAGCAAAAGAGAAATCCCACACGCGCGAGAAAATACAAGATGGTTGCGGAACACATGTCGTAATAAAATATGTACAAAATAAACCATTTTGAACACTCTTTTTTAATATTTATAAAAATATATTTTGCGCTAATGTTGCTAATGCACCTATTGAGCGAAAAAAAATTGTTAAGGAAAAATTTTCTGTTAGCGAACCCTTTGTTAAATATTTCGAATATCACCACTGCATGTGAGTATTTAAATAAATATTTCTCAGCAAACATAAGGTAGTTAAGTATTATTTCTGATTATTTATCTGTGCTCAGTATCATTTCTGTTGTATCAAATGCGATTATTGTTCATTACAAATAGTTTATTTCTTAAATAAGCATTTTAAAATTATAATCTTATTTATAAAACAATGTAGCTTATTTCCTCTTGTAAAAATTTAGCTGCTGAAGAATAAATTCGAAATTGCTTCAATAAGAATTACCACTTTGTGCAGGTATAATTATAATCTTTGAATATGATATTTTAACAAAACTATAAATCTCATTCTATAATTTGCTGTTTGTTCTTTCTTTTGTAATACACTAAATAATATGTGTGACCATTATGGTTCACTATCTGAAGGACTTCTTATCAGTTCTTTCCCAAAATTTTACTTGCTAATAAACATCATTTAATTTTCCATTTAACTTTTCTTTTGCCAGAATGTACGAGTACAATACATCTTTTACATTTCTGACCACTGTCCCTCATCAGCTGGCTTCATACATCAGGTTTCACATTAATACATAACTTAAAAACACCATAAAACTTTTTCTTAAAACCTAACCTCAAACAACACTAACCAATTCCCTCCTTTGAACACTTCAAGGAATACCTTTTTGGTCATGTGCAATTTTTTTACCTGCTTTCTCTGAAAAATTTTCCTAAAAGACACTCTTAAAACCCTAAAAATTAAAACTTTTCCTAAATCCTAAAATAATTATTAATTTCCTTGATTTTCTATTTTATCAACATCTATTTTTAATATTGTGTACCATGTATTATTCATCTTCATACTACCGTTTATTCATTTTGTTTTTAAATATTTTTATAATCTCTAAATACTTGTATAATTTTCTTCTAAATGTATTATGTGCCAATTTTAAAATCTTGATAGCATTTACATTGATTTCACAACTTTATTACAATGAGCTGCCACTACAGAGTTGTGATAAGCCTACTTAATTGTTCTTACATGCTCCTTGATACTGACTTCTAGCTGTTTTCCATAGACTATTAAAAACATATTTATAAACAAAATTAAAAACAACTGTGTTATGAAGATGAATAATACATGCTACTCAATATTAAAAATAGACATTGAAAAAAATAGAAAATTGAGAAAATTAAAAATTATTTTAAGAAAAGTTTTATGGTGTTTTCAAGTTATGTATTAATGTGAAACCAGATGTATGAAACCAGCTGATGAGGGACAGTGGTAAGAAATGTAAAAGATGTACATTCTGGTAAATGAAAAGTTGAATGGAGAATTGAATGATGTTTATTAACAACTAAAATTTAAGGAAAAAACTAAAAAGAAGTCCTCCAGAATAGTGAGCCAGAACAGTTACATATATTATTTGATGTACAGTAATACCCCGAACTTATGCGATAGGTGGGACCGAGCGATAACCGCGTAAGTCGGGGTATAATTTCGCAATTTGTGTAAAATCCAAGTCGGATGTATGTAAGCTAATAAATGCTCTCGTTAATCTTATCTCGTCTTTTGATTCATTCACGGTTACAAGAAATCACCACATAGAGTCTCTCAAATCTCCGTAGATATAACAAACACAGAAATAAATAACACAAAATAAATTGTAGCTATATGTCGATTCCGCGCGACACGTCCAAACATGTAAGCTGAACAATAGTGTTGGGGGAGTGAGTAATCAAGAGTTGCGTGGTGTTCAAACAAAAGATGAATCAACGAGATTTGAAAATCGCGTAACTCCGGGTTCGTGTAAGTCAGGGTAGCATAAGTCGAGGTATTACTGTACTATATATCCCAATTTAATTAAAGTCAAACTATATTAAAATAGTTTTTTCCACTAGGTATGCTATCTTATAATTTAAGAATTAAACAATAATTAGTTTCTTATTAAATAAATTGTATTAATTAAAATTAATCAAGTTATCACAAATAGTATCATAGCCTATTTCTGATGTCAAGTTTATGAATAATTAATTTTTATTCTGTGTGTAGCGTCCTTGCAAAACAATTTTTAAAACAATTTTTTATTCAAATGCATTTCGGATTGGTTTATGTTTCCAATGGTTGGGAATGTAAACCAATCCGAAATGCATTTGAATAAAAAATTGTTTTAAATAAACCGTAACGTTTTCCTAACCAATTGCTGTTTGGTCGTCTACCAAGAATCATTTTTTGGATTACAAGGATGCTACTCAGAGAATTTGAATATACAACAACCATACCTTTTACATTAAGAATTGATTTTTAATTGGTTAAAAATATAATTTAATAATTTTGATATGAAATTTTTTGATTTTGTTTCAACTATGTATGAAATTATGAATCATTACTTCTGAAATTGATTTGAAATATATTTCAAAACTAATTACCTGTCTATCAAAAACAGCAATTTCTGCCATATTCAGAGTAAAATAATGATCAGGATCAGGTGGTGATATCATTGTTGGTTTTCCAGCACCAATTAATGTATTGCATGCCATTTCTATATAATAAGTTTGCCTGAGATCTTCCAAAGTTACATTATACGATATAATAAAGTCCTTCCTTTCACCTGTAAATATTGAAAATAACTATTTCATATGAGAAAAGTTAATAGTTACACAGTTCATAATATTTTTTCCTATTAGTTTTAATATACAGTCGACTCCCCTATAATGCAGGTTCATATAATGCAGATTCGTATATCGCGGAAAAAAAATTGCAACCATATTCGTACAAAGATGATAAAAGAGACTCGTAAAATGCAGTAAAACGTCATTGCCAACTTGTGTCGCGACAGGATTGATCAAATCTAGACCAATAGTGGACGAGCAGCCGAACTACTTACACGCTATTAAGAGTTTAGGCAGATAAGTTGAGTTTACTATCATCTGTACAGTATATAAGTTAGGTACTGTAAGTCTAATACAGTACTGTAATTTTATACATTTCTTTGAAAAAACATTTCTTATTCAATGGCCATAAAAATTATTTCTATTAATGATGTCTCCAAAGTTCAGCAAATTTTTTGCAGAAAAATAAGTTATCAGAAAACGCATCCGCCGTTTGGTGCACTGCTCCATGACGAAAACAAGCTTAAGCAATGGCGTCATCGAACGGTGCACACTCGGTAAGTAATCCTACAATTTTTTGTTTATAGCATAGTTTATACGGATTATTCCCAAAAAATTATACGTGTTTTGGAAATGTTGAGTCAAATTAGTCTAGAATCGATTAATTTTATGGAAGAAAATCTTTCAAACAGCCATAGTTCGTAAACTGCACACATGCCGGGCTGTGATTGGCTCATGTATTTAAGGATTCCTACAACATGAAATTCTTATAAACTGGAACGTATCTATCGCATTAGAGGGGGAATCGACTGTATATTATCAATTAAGAAATAATTTATTAAGTTAACATTATTAAATAAAATTTATCTATGTCTTTTAATTATATCTTATAAATAGAAGGAAAATTTTGTTTATTCATTAATTACACTATCATACTATTATATCAATGTAAGGCATTTGTAGATATGCTTGTGTTTGAATTTGCATTGTTGAGTTTTGTCTTCTTTTGCCTCAAATTTTCTTTGAAAAAGTTTTTTCTTTTTATTTATATAATTAGCAGACCCGGCCACACATTGCTATGGTTGAAAATGTATCTATTATAAATGTATAACACTCCCTGCAGGAGGGAATTTTGAAAAATCCTTTCTTAGTGTACATTCTCTTGACGTACCCTGTTAAAACGCAACCAAAAGCGCAAAAAACTGCATCTAGAATAGTATAATAGAAGCCGAGTTCTCATGGTAAGCCTTAATCCTGTCCCTCTTCCCTGTGTGGGAAAAATTTCGACATCTATATAATATAAAAACAAGCATATTCGAATGCAACGTTGTGTCAAAATTTGAAAGCAATCGGTGAAGAACTTTCAGAGACTTAAGATTTTGAAAAAAACAAACATTACATTTTTATTTATATAGATTTCCCATCTACTTTCAAGTTTTTTGAAATGTAATTATTGCATCTTGAAATAAATTACTTTAAATTGCTTTGTTACAGATTACTCTATTAAAAATTACTTTTTTCATTATTTGAGAAAAATTTTTTAACAGATAAATATTTCTGTAAAATGTGATGAAACAAGTTTATCCAATGATACAATATAAAATAAAAATTGATTTCATTAAGAGAGTATCAAAAGAAAACAACAAACTCATTGACATTGTGATAGAAGCAATTATTTAATGTCACCAACTAATGAAACTGTATCTAATTTTCAAACTTATTCAATGCTGAATTCAGCAGTGAACAAGTAAGTATGGATGAATTCACTAATTCATAATTTTCTTAAGAAATACTGGTATTCTTTAATTTTTTCCTATGGTTTTTCCTAAGAAGAACAAATATTTGTTCTCTGAATTTTCTTTATTTTTATTTTTTTGTTATTTATTTATTTATTTCTAAATTTCCAGTCTTTTTTATGAAATTATTAGCACTTTAATTTAATTTAGAATACTCTGGAAAAAAAGAATCAATCCAAAGTGGTACTGGAATTCAAGCTACAGAGGAAAGGAACTTTCTATTTGAATGCAAAAAGAACAAGGTACACCCTATGTTGACATACTGAATTAAACTACTATACGGATGTGAAGTACTTCTCCAAAAAGTATGTTTTGTATTCCTCCGAAAAGCAATTCAATTATCCAAAAGATACGTCTACAACAGACTTTCTAACCAGATAAAGTTAGAGAATGAAATGTACAATGAAGACCTGAACTTACAAATATAAATGCACGTGTAATTAAACTAGAAGAAGTAGTAAGCAGAAACCTGCATAAGAAGTATAGAAAGAAGTTAAAATGGATCTTTGATCATCAAAAACTGAAACGTAAACCAAAATTTAACACCCCTATCTGCTGGGATCATATTAACTCACTAAATTGTATTATTAAAGCTTGCCAGTATGGACCAATATATGCACTGAAGTTCTCCAATATAAGAGCTAAAAACATCATTCCTAACATAGATAAAATCCTAGCCCAGTTTAAAAATGCTTCCAATGAAATGTATAAAAAGTTCTGAAGATGGCACTCTCTTCAAAATGCAAAAAACAGAGTGACCCAGAAGATAAAAACACATGGGTCCAAGTCCAAGAAAGCAAGAAATGGCTAAAATGTAATAAGATAATGTTAAAGCTGGCAAATGCAGACAGATGGTCAGTGCCAGATTTACCTATAGGCCGAGTAGGCCACATCCTAGCCCCTTCCGCCCTAACCCAAGTTATCTCGAACTGCACGAGGGTGTGTGATCCATAACCAGAGATATCTCGGACATGGACTTAAGGGGCTTCAAAAAAGAGTCTTGACTTATAACTTTTCCAAAAATGTATGGATCAGCATATATACATCTTTATCTTTCACCTATCACATATACATCTTTATCTATTACCTATGCAAATTTCATGAATTATTTTTGCCACAAAAATTTTTTATGACAATTTATTAATTAGCTAATTAATTGTGCTATTGTTTTATTATGCGAGTTTTTTTTTTATCAAATTAATAAAATCGTTCTAAACTTGTATTTCACGGATTTGACGTCTGTAAAGTTTTTTAAATGCTATAGGATGTTTTTTTTATGACATCAGCAAGTTTTTTTGTTTTTATTCAGTAGCATTTTTTTCCATACCTTTTTTCGGTCCCCTGTATTTCAATAGCATAAAAATCAAACATTTTATGTTATATTTGAATAGATGTGGTAAGTTAGCTCCCCTCCTGCTTTAAACCAATATTACCCTGAGGCATACAAGAACTACCCAGGAAAGCTGACACCAGCTGTTCTCAAGGTCAACCAGTTTGTAAACAATGTAGACTGCAAGGGTGAAATATCATGCCTTATTAAATGAAAGAATAACAATCTGTGCAGTTATATTTATCAAATAAAAGCTTTTACTTTAAATTATTATTATTTTTTTATATAGTTTTTTTGTAAAAACACTTTTTGGGGTTTTTATTTCATGGGAATTATTTCCCAGCAATTTTTTTATGTCAGATTTGCGTTTGAGTGGAAATAATTATTTAATATAAAAAATCAATTACTTATGGATTTCCATATGACATTCCACGTGTAACAAATGTATGCAAGTGGCTAGGGCCCCAAAATTATCAATCTGTTTTCAACTTTTAAAAACTTTTAATAAGAAAAAATAAGAGCTATTTCTTTTTAAAAATTTTTAAAATAAAACATTTTTCATGTCACATGTAACACTAGAAAGAATTAATGCAGTTTTCAAGTCCTTGTAAGATTCAAAAATCATGCTATACATGTTTTTCTTTGTATTCATCTCTTGGTGAGTTCCTAATGAGTTTGAATGATCAGTTTGACACAATTGAAGCAGAAGCTAAATAATTATTTCCTGATACTAATGATACAAAACAGAGACAACAAACTAAAAAAGAATTCCAGGTGAACCTTAATCAAATGAAAAAGTGTTAAGTCCCAAGGAAAACTTTAAAAATATTTTTCTGAAAATTTTGAAAAATAATAATATGAATTTGGAACAACAAGCTGAATCTTATAAGGAAATTAATCATAATTTTGGATTTTTAATCAACACTGACACTCCTAATGAAGAACTGAAGGTGTGTACAAAATACCATCAAGCAATATCAAAGAGTATTGATGATTCATTATGTAGTGAAGTTTTGCAACTCCATAGTTTCATCAAAATTAATTATCAAGATCGAGAATCCCCTTTGACTCATTTGTTCTTGTATAAGATGACAAGACAAAAGAATATGGAAATTGCATTTCCAAACACTGAAACAGTTTTAATAATTTATTTATGCTTGATGATTAACAACTGTTTTGGTGAGAGAAGTTTTTCAAAATTAAAATTAACCAAAAATGATCTAAAGTCAACCAAGACTCAGAATACTTTAGACAATTTCACTTTATAATCTTGCAATGTTGATAAAATGAAATCCATTGAGTTTGATTTATTAATGGTTGAATTTGCCAAAGAAAAATGTAAAAAAAATCTTTTGTAAAACATATTGTAAGTTTTATACCACATTGAATTTTATAATGAAAACTTTTTTTAAATATTAGTTTTCATATTTCATAAAGCCTCATCGATCATCTCTTGACTCGATAATGTAAGATTAACTTTTAAACCAGATCAGGTATTTTATGATAGAATTTATAAAAATCCTTATGTGAATAAGTCAAATTAATTTCAGAGATCATTATTATTTTTAGAGGCCCCAATGCCATGCTCATCCTAGGACCTCCAAAAATGCAAATCTGGCTCTATAGATGGTTCTATTAAAAAGATCCACATATATCTTATTACTTGAGATTTACAACTCCAACACCAAATGTCAACCTATCAAAAAGGACTTAAGTGGATAAACTACAAAGGAGGATCAGTAGATTCACTGCCACAGCCATAGCCAAGCTTTAAGGGCTAAACCATGCAGCAATAAGCTCCCCAGACACCCTGAGGCTGTTTGCTTTTGCTAAAATTCACAAACATGGCCAGCAATTATGTCTGATTCTAGAC